ATAAACACTGAAAATAATTATAAAAAAAACTTTACAAATTTGTTAAAGCTGGTTCCACATTTCGATAGATATAATAAACTAGCTATGACCGGGTTATCGGCCGGCAAAAATCGATATTTCAATTGATTACTCAAGTGCATATTTTTAAGTAATCACAAATTGTCAGGCGCGCATAAACAACAAGCCTCATTTTTCTTTGCATAGGACCCTCAAAGCCAGGCTGATTTTTCTAAGACACAAAACGATTGTCTGACGAAAAACTCTGGAACGGTTATTGAGATACAAATGTTTGAATATTCAAAAACTTAGGGGAGAATGGGAGTAACCTCCTTTATTTTACACCTGCCCCCCCCCCCCCCCGTTTAAAATATTCACAACCTGTACCGGTATCTAACTAACCGTTTCCGAGTTTTACGTTTCCGAGTTTTCCGTCAAACACCTCAAGCAAAACTACTTGGAGACACCTTCTCTATAAAGGCTCCGTAACTTGCGACCAGAAATGGATTGAATCAATTCAATCAATTCAAATTCGTCGTCGCTGCATCAAAACCAACCATCACATCAATCAAAAGCCTGCAGAAAATGCCAAAGGATTTTGGCTCAAGAATTGGACTCTTCAGCCATCAGAGTGTATGAAGATTTGACAGATGTATACATTTTTAAACGTTAAAAAAGAAGAATCTGAAAGTGTGGGAAAAAATAGATGCCCAAATCGGGATTCGAACCCGGGATATTTCTCTGTCTATGCAGACGCCTTAACCAACTAAGCCATAGAGGTTTTGTTGGAAATTCAAATGCGACTGAGGCACCTAATTCCTTTCACTCTCATGCGCATGCGTATTAGACAGCACTAGTCCTTGATGCATGGCAAATGACAGAGCTCAATATGATACGCCCTCTTCTTATCAGCAATTTACGACAGTAGATAGATATAGTAGAAAGAAGGAATTCCATACAACACCTGTACCTGAGACAGTCCTAATCCCTTTCAGGATGGATGGTCATTAAGGTGGTCTTGTGTAGATTAACAGGTCTTATACAAGATTAAGGAGTATAAGAACCTACCGCGTGTGCTCGAACATTAATGTTAAATGGAGAAACATAGATAGGTTTGATTGATGTGCTAAGGAAAGCAAGGATTAATAATGTATTAGCATAATAGAAGAAATCAATTTTGATTGAGGTGTATTAGTACCTTGTTATTATTCATTCATATTTTTTAAACACAATCAAGCGTTCAAGGTTAGTTCGTACATTCATTCCTGTAGATTTCCCAGAAGTATTAAGATAGGTAAAGTCCGACTTTTTTTTCCGTTAGTGACAAAATTAATGATGCTGAGTTGAATGTATACTAACCTACGTCATACATCTTACGGCAGGGTTTATCACAATTGAATTACGACACTCATTCGGTGCTTGGCTGCCTTCTCTTAAGAATTCAAGATGTTTGTGATCGCGAATTTCAATTGGTATTGTCTCGATTTTGGGGATAAACTCCTCTTTCAAAAATAGCCGTGTGTGTAAGGATATTGCTAATAGATCCATAATAGAGACCTAACATTTAATTAAATTAGTAATTGGTCTATCGAAAATCAGACGTAATCTAATATATCTTTAAACTATAAATTTATATTATTATTATATTGATTTTAACCATTCCCAGCAGGGAATGTTCAGCCTTTACTCATTATCAGTGAAGTCCTCAAACAACTGATGATGAAAAATAGCATGACCAGATTTGTGGAAGGAAGGTAGTACTTAATATTTAATCAAACAATCATAATGAACTAATATTAGGCCTATATAAATAGTTGTCCTTCTTTCTATAAACTTTAGCTAAAAATTGTCTTTTTTCTTCTAAACGGAATAACGAATTAGGCCTACCTAATTTATAGGAGGACTACGGTTGGCGGTTATTCGTACATAATATTACGAAATATGCTGACACCTGATTTTTAACTTAATCTGTATAGGCCTACAGCATCTATTATTTCAGAAAGTTAAATAGGCCTTTAGTTCTCAACTAAAAATTAGAACGTATCACAATTTTCCTTGCAAGTAATATTAGTTTAAATAGCACCAATCCTATATTAATCTTTGAATATGCCTACTGTTAAATTTTTGGAAGGAAATTAAGGGGTAATATTTTATTGGATCATCTCTTTTAAAACACGTTAGAAAGAAACAGTGTGTCCACAAATCACCTAAACAGGCAAAAAGTAGGGTAAATTTAAGTAAAGTCCAAACAGTTTGATAAAATAAAAAACCGATAGAAAATAATTAAATAATCAAATGCATTTTTTACATGTAATCAAATGTTAAGTTCAGGGAATGGAACAGTGGGGTTAACTACAACTGCTAACCCGTGTTACATAACACTAAATAACAGTAAAATTATCATTGTATAACGCATTAACGNNNAAATATTTATATATACATATATATATATATATATATATATATATATATATTTAACATTTGAAGTCAACATATTCGTTTAAATAAGCTTGCAACAAACATACGGTATGGCCACTCCAACCTCACCCTCCCACCCAAATAACGTCTTTAAAACACAGTCCTGTCAGCGTGTGGCTGAGAACTCGTGTATTGTGGGAATCAACCATGCCTGTGAAATTTTTACTTGCTGTTGGCATGACGACGGCTTTTCAAAAATAACCAACTTATTCCAAATGTTTTATATTTAATGTTGATAATTGTTAGGTGGCAGCATATTTAATTTCTACCCAATCCTCCTAATTATAGGCTTATTCCTCTTTTCTGTATACATTTATTTAGTTAGATGAAGCTGATGTTGGTGGTGTACTTTCATGAATTGGATGAATTCGATCCCGCCGATGGCGACGGTAGTAGCAACGGAGGAAGAGGCAGCAAATGAGTCTCTAAAATCAAAACGAAGATAAAACGACACGTACATTAACAATAATTAAATTTTTTCTAGCAACATCCAAAGTTATCGGCCAACCCCACACTTGGCATAGACAAGGGGTCGGGACTGGGACCGAAATAGTAACCGGTCCAAGAACTAAATTAGGGGCAATGGGCCCCGTGGGAACGCTCCTTTTTAGAAACTATGTTTACTATTCAGTACAATTTTGACCACTTCAGAGGATTATTTAGATGGATCTGTTTAATATTGTGTTTTGTTCAATGATAATTCAATTATCATTTTGCCTTTTAAAAAGCTGCCATTTATTATGCCAAATGAGCAACGCCAGCGACCGCCGATTAATAGATAACCCACCGCTGATATGACTACAATGATCACTTATCTTAAGCTTGGTTTCCATGCAATCCCTACACGCTATCACCGACAGCTTTCGGTGTGATGCTGATGGACGGTCGAATCGGGGAGCCTTCCCGATTGCATCGGGGACTGCTACGCAGTAGGCCTACAACGTTAAGGTAGGGATTTTAGGGAAACCAGGCTTAAATCATATATCGACCATACATCGTAGCATTATATAGGCCTACATTCATTTCACAAGCAACGATGATTGTAAAGCTGAACTATAATTTCTGGCGTTATTACACATTATGATCATTACCACTAAATTAATTGTCCATCCGTAACAAAATCATGATGAAATCATATTTGTGAATCCCCGCGCAACATAGCGTCTGTGTGTCCACACTTATCATTTATAAAGTGATAATGTAATCGAATAAGAGCTAATTCGTCCCAATTGCTGATACTCTATCACGACAATAAGTAACAACTAATTAGCCTACCACGCGGAGACGGACAGTGAAAAAAACCGGTCAGAACGAAATACAACCGTTATATCGATCTGGACTATTTAATGCCTCTGATCAAATAAACCACTACTTTCCATGTAATTGGAGATTAATAAACAAAATGTTATCAGCATTCATTTATACGGGATGTCTGCAGCATCGCCTCGTTCGTTATTGATTCAATTTAAAAGCTTGGGGTTAGATAACATACGCCTGGTTTATCCTATTAGAGTGACATTCCCACATTTTACGTCATAATTTGAGTTAGCCCAATTTTGGTAAACATAGCCTACTAGGTAACTCTCTATTCGAAGATTGACTTTTATGCAGCGCGTGGACCCATGACGCGTAGCCTTGCCGTGCGACACCGAGAGTGAGAGAGAGAGAGAGAGAGTCTCCACACAGGCGCAATATTGGTCATATCAACATAATATCAATAAAAGCAGGGGTATAGCTATTCATTAGCTATAGCTCAAAAAACTTAAGCTAGCATTAGTAAAGCAATCAAATATCGAAATATATCACTATTATTGGCTATAGCAGATTACATCATAATTATGCTACTTATTGATATTGATATTAGTCTGATGTAGCTGGTTGTAGCAATTAATATCAACAT